TTGAGGAAGAAACCTTTCTGGAGCATCCACACTTGCCATTTTATGCAATAGTTGTAGAGCAAAAAGGAGTTCCATTTCATAAAAGGAGGTTCACCTACACTGGCAAATGCCCTCTGTTCTGCCATTTTACTGCTGATTTCCTTGCAAAAAAGTACATTTGAGATGTGGACACAGCTGTTTTTACACAAAAACCTTGCAATGTAGACATAGCCTTGGAGTCAAGTATCAGAGGGGTAGCCGTGTTAGTCTGAATCTGCAAAAGCGACGAGGAGTCCTGTGGCACCTTATAGACTAACTGAAGTGTAGGAGCATAAGCTTTCGTGGGCAAAGACCCACTTCGTCAGATGCATGACATGCATCTGACGAAGTGGGTCTTTGCCCACGAAAGCTTATGCTCCTACACTTCAGTTAGTCTATAAGGTGCCACAGGACTCCTCGTCGCTTTTGCAGATTCAGACTAACACAGCTACCCCTCTGATACCACAGGACTCCTCGTCGCTATAGCCTTGGAGATTTATCCTGCTATTCCAACAGCAATGCAATTGGAGCAAAAATTATGCAGGTGGGCCAAACATGCACAGTGGGAGAAACATTATGAAGTAATGCAAATCTCTCTTCAGCATAGGTCTAGCTGCCATTCCTACTCTGTGATTTAAAGCAGTAGCTGTATACGTAGTGGGTTCTGCTGCAGGTTGAACTCTTCAGAAAGTGCTGCTTGGGTCTCTTCACTTACTCCTTTGTCTTAGCAGCCATTTAGGAGCCTGCCTCACACATATCCATTGAGGTATCGCAGAGATGCGACATCCACAGCCACCACCAAATAAATCATTTAGACATTTAATTCTAGAATTCTTCCCCCCCCCAAAAAAAATAAGTTACAGTATCTGGGCTTTGAAATACAGAAGGTTTAGATCTGCCCACTCACAGCTGAGAGAAGGATTTGGCAATGATCTAACAAGCCCCAAGATTAAATGTAGCATAGGGAAAGCCACGTTAATCTGGTATAACAAAAACAAGTCCTATGGCACTTTAAAGACTAACAGATGGGCATAAGCATTTGTGGGTAAATGGATAATATGGGTCTACCATTCATTCTGACTGGATACAGAATAAACATTGGGGCTGGCAGACATGCGTGAGCAGTTGAAGTTGAGTAATGCACTAATAAGAGACAATGTAACTAAAATGAAAAAGCAAAACAAACAAACAGTTTCTATGGAAAAACGGTATAGCACAGAACGTCAACCAAAGATTTCAGATAATACTGTGCAGATAGCTCAGAACAGAGGAGGACGACAATGTTAAATTATCAGTTAAAGACCTTTAGTTCGTCTGAAGTGGGTTGTGTCCACAAAGCTCATGATACCATCTACATGTTTTGTTAGTCTCTAAGGTGCTGCAAGACTATTAATAGTTTGTTTTTTTTACTCTAGTGTTAGCTACCCACTTTTATGCAGAAGAGTATTGAGACTAAAGCTGGAGTCAAATACCTGCTTCATGTAACATCATTATGGGTTTTTTTATTTCCAGTTTATCACTGGGATCTAGCTGAGCAATTTCTGATCATATAGTTATGTGATCTACTTAGGATACATGTGGGAAGAACCAATTTAAAAAATATCAGATGTAGCAAACAACTTAAAACATGGCTATTTTCTAAAATAAATTTGTTTTCTACAGATTACCTATCCACCAAGGTTTAGCAAAGAGATTTAAAAAAAATTAAATAAGTGAGCGTTGTCACTCCTCAACCACCTGCACAACATAAGTTCTGGATGAAGCTACCCTGCACCAAAGTTCCTGAGCCAGGGAGACTGGCTCTCTCAGGTATGGTTGGAGGACTGGCAGACACTGCACCTGGACATAATGGCTACGTCTAGACTGGCCCCTAATTCCGGAAAAGTCATGCAAAGCAGGTAAGTCAGAATAGGGAAATCCGCGGGGGATTTAAATATCCCCCGCGGGATTTAAATAAACATGTCCGCCGCTTTTTTTCCGGCTTGGGGAAAAGCCGGAAAAAAGCGTCTAGACTGGCGCGATCCTCCGGAATAAAGCCCTACTTGAAAGCAGGAATAAGAGATCCTCCAGAAAAGGGCTTTATTCCGGAGAATCGCGCCAGTCTAGACGCTTTTTTCCAGCTTTTCCCCAAGCCAGAAAAAAAGCGGTGGACATGTTTATTTAAATCCCCCGGGGGATATTTAAATCCCCCGCGGATTTCCCTATTCTGACTTACCTGCTTTGCATGACTTTTCCGGAATTAGGGGCCAGTCTAGACGTAGCCATTATGTCCAGGTGCAGTGTCTGCCAGTCCTCCAACCATACCTGAGAGAGCCAGTCTCCCTGGCTCAGGAACCATTTCTCCTGAGCAGTAGAGGCAGCATTAATGTTCATAGCTGACCATGGAGGAATCTGGGCAGCATTTGAAAGCCTACAGTCTTTAGCATAGGCCAGCACTGCAAGAGTGGGATGAACATGAGAACAGCCTACACAAAATTCTAGCCTTGTAAACACTTGACATTAAAAAAAAACAACCATTCAGTGAGGAGGCAAAACGAACAACAGTCTGAAATCCTCTGAAAATGTTATTTTTTCCTTCTCAAAACTTTGTTTTCTTGCTGCTTCAGCTACCAAGAACATCTAGTCTCATTCTGCATTTTGAAAGGTTCATAAAGGACAGACATTAAAGTGACTGTATAGGTCTACCTACTACAGTAGACTTCCGATAATCCGGAACATTTGGGACCTAGGTGGTGCCGGATTATCGGATATGCAGGACTATCAGGAGGTACTATAAGCTTGTTTTATAAAAACACTTTATATATAGTATATAGTGTGTATACACACACACACACACACACACACACACACACACACACACACACACACACAGAGTATACACTGTATATAAAGTGTTTTTAACCCTTTTTATTGTAGCACAAGCACTGTCCAGCGTCACACAATGCCAATGGCAGAATGCCAATGGCAGAATGACTCGGTCCTTTCTGGTTTCGCTCGGTTCAGATGCTGCTGCTACTGCGACTGCCTTGTGACTCTTTTTTGCCAAAGCTCACTCACTAGGCTCTTGCCATTTTGATGCTGGACTATCGGGAGTGCCGTACAATTGGATGCCGGACTATTGGGAATTTTACTGTAGTTTGTTTACCCCTCATTTTGTATTTAAAAATTGTAGCATCATGCATTGGTACAATACACACATCTGTTTCCAGAAAAGTCTGGGACCACAGCAAGTGAGAGCCTCAATTAAAGTTACACTCTGATAGAAGGACCATTATGTACTTACCTTAGTGCAACACCTCACACACAGAGCCTCAATACTGAATAGGGCCTCGGGCTGCTACTGAAATAGATGGCTAATATGATACAACTGTGACACAAGTGCCAACTTCCAATTCTTGACAATGAACCAGATTCATCAGTCCAAAGAAGTGCAGCTCCTTTAGTGCCAGAAGTCTGGAGAGGATGACATGGGTGAAATCACTGCTGGCTTGCCTTTCAACACTGCACAAGGGTACTGGAGTACCCAGAGATGCCCATGGTACCAGGGGCGGGTACTGTCCTTTGTACCATGAATCAGAAGCAGGAGGCAGCAGATTTCCACCTTGTCAGGTACAGCAAAGCGGAAAGTTTCCAATGCTAGTGCATTAGGCATGGGAATTCCTGCAGTTGAATCGACATAGTCAAACTCCAGTAGGGTGCAAATCCTCATGAATGACCATCTATAGCAAGTGGAACGATTCTTGATTCACCAGCCATGCTGCTAGTGAGACTCCTCAGACTGCGAACCATTGGAATACGTGTCAGGTGTTGAAAGCATTGGGATAGTCTCTTGCAGTTGCTGAGCTATACAGCATGGCTGAGCCCAATGGTTTCACCTCAAAGAGGTTAATCTCAACAGGACAGATGCAAGGGCTGCAGGCAGCTGCTCTGTCTGAGGTGCTTTGTGCGAAGGGTGCCTCAGCGTGGAATACTTTCCTTTACAACACACTTGCTGGATTTCAGTGGAGGGGACCCCAATGTTCTGGATTCTGTGTTCTTTGATTCCATCTTCTGATGCTTCTTCTTTGGTACTGGAAAAAAAATGATGGCAGAAGCTTGACAATAGGAGTGGTCTGAATCAAAGCAAACTTGCTCAGTGAATGCCCTGAACAAGAAGGTTCTGAGGATGGCATAGGGTTGCCTCCATCAGAAGGTGCTTTAGCCTGATATCCTTGTCTTAGTTCTGGGCTTAAAAATTCCTGCAGATTTAGCACCTGTCCCAGATCTGATCTTCCTATGCATTTGGAGTATGTCATTAACCAGCACTAGCTTCTTGCCTCCAGCACAAGGCTTGAAGCCTGGAGTGTGAGTCCCAGCACCAGTACCTGAACTGCTTACTCTTCAGTTCCCACTAAGTACCCAGTAAAAAGAAATCTAATATTAAAAATATCCTCATACAACTATCAACTAATACATAGTGTTACATAAAGTTGTTACTCAAGAACAAAAAGGTAAACTTGCTGTAAGAAGATGGAACAATTCAACAACAGTCATGGGCAGCAAATGGGAAATGAAGGGGTGGGCACTGTCCTTTGTACCATCAATCAAAAGCAGGAGGCAGCAGAGTTTCACCTTATCAGGTACTGTGAAAGGGAAAGTCTCCAATGCTAGGAGAATGCATACTCCAATACTGGGAATGCATACTCCTGAAGTAGAATGGACATAGATAGTCACTCAAAGGAGCAGTCATACAAATAGTAAGTAAAATGAATGAGTAAAAAATAATTGTACAGAGCTTTTAAATACCCTGTACTAGCTACAATATTGCAGAGTACGATGTGTGAATGTCAAGAATGCTGATAAACTAGAGTATTTAGATTAAACATTTATTTTTTCATATATTCACAAAATCTTCACAAAAGTACTGAAACTCAAAAAGTAACTAGACTTGAATCAAATACAGAGATGAAATATACAAGACAAATGAGCAGGCAAACTAAAAGGTCTTGAAAGTATTTTACTTCAGATTGAAAAATGAACAGTTCAACTGTTCTGTTTAAATAAAGATTTGCAAGATATACAGTATTTTATTAATACAATGCTGGTCATTTGAGGCAATATAAAATACACCTCAATTTTTCCTTCATGCTTCTTTTCTCTTTTAGAAAGATACTGTTTACCAAAAAGAAACTTGCAGTCCAGGAAAAGCTATTTTCCATTAAATTTATGAAAACCATAAATTGAGGCAAACCTAAGATTCCCAATGGAATCAAGATTATCTTCCCGCTACCACCACCTTAAAATTATCACATGCTTAGTGGAACACTAATATCTTCACCCTAAGAGTTCATCTGCTTTCAACAATGAGGGTGATTCTTTATAAAAACACTTCAGTGTGGTAAATGAGATACAGATCTTTGCAAGTATTAAGTGTTTGGAACAGTTTTGCTAATAGCAGCTAACAATACTGGATTAATATAATTTATAAATAATTGTTCCCTAAACAGTGAACATAAATCTACACATTCACAATAATCTAAAACAAAATAAATACTGTGATTATGCATAATGTGGTACAATGTGTACTAGTTTCTATGAACAAAAGCGCAATGTCCTGTTAATAAAATTATTTGATCAGAATAAAAATGTGAATCTAAAATTTAAAACATTGTCAAATTAACATCACTTTTTAAGCTCTTAATGTCTGTATGAGTAAATGTAATAAATTTCCATCTTTTTGAAATATGTATTTTTCTTTTTGAAGTAAAACACAAATATATTGTTGAAAATGTTTATTTCAGTGATGACATTAAGTTGGGTCTTATTTTAGCATTATTTTATTTAAAAAGTCATTGCACTGATCAGTGCCCATTAAAGGTCAGGTTGGTCTGCAATGTTTTGTATATGTGTATAAAAAAAGTTCTAAAAGCTAACAGTACTTTTATAAAATCATCATCTCCAGGACAGCTGCATTAAATGCATTGCAGGTATGTTGAACACAAACTCTTTCCTCTTTAAAGAAAAAATGTTAAAGTAAATGCCACTTTACATTCTGTCATTAAAGTGCCCCCAACTTATTTTTCAAATTATACATGTGAATGTAATCATATATTTAATTTGCTTTCAAGGCATTAATTTATTTCAACCAAAATTTAAAGTGTAACTGAACCAGACAATGTTAAAACTTTTGATTGAAGGTAACAAGTAGTAGTAGGAGGAGGCTATGAAAGGTTTGGGTCTTTAAGGCAATACAAAATATATTTCCATTATTTGAAGACTAATTTTTATTAGTGTCCATATAAAATGCATAAAAGGGGAATGAGAAAAAATATTTTAATAAGAAAGTTTACTTATAGCTTGAACAGTAATTCTCATCAAAGTGAGTTTAGCAAAAATATATATATTTAAAAAAAAAGACAAAAAACAGACTTTGAGGGAAAAAAGACAAACAAAAGGCATGGGATTGAAGCAGCTCAGGAATGCAAACATTTGTACAAATGGACTTGGCTTTTACTGCAACTAAAAAGACAAAAATCCCAAATAGCTTTTTCTCTTTAAAAATTGGAGATTGCTGGTGGCTGTGGCAGGGGGGGGGGGAAAGAGGGGGAACGACAAACTGGAAAAAAAATTACAACAATGGAACTCTCTAAACAGGTGAAGATTACTTGTCAGAGATGACCAAAAGTTCAGTGTTTACACAAAAGTACATGTACACTTTATACACATGAGACTTCATCTGCCACCATAAACTTTTCTCTTTAGAGGAACAACTTCTGAAGATCATAAGTGTTCTAGTAAATCATTTCAATGTGAACAAAATCAATCTGAGCAATGTCAACTAGTAGCGTTTTTAAATGAATGTTAAGATGACAATTCAGATTATTTTCCAAACTAATCCTGAGAAAAAATTCTGTTTACAATTTAAACAGTTATGTTATGTAAAAAGTATTAACAAATCCACTATTACAAATGTCAATTTTCCTATATGGTCATCTATATATACACACACACAATAAAATGGTATATGCAAAAATAATAAAAAAAATCATGCACAAATTACTTCTTAATCTTTAAAGGCTGGATTTCCCTCAAAATACAATTTTTCATCTTTTTTCCTTTTTTTTGTGTTTTGTTTGTTATCTGCCAAACACACTGAATACTACCTCTACAGTTCAGCATGAGCTGATGGGAGATATATTTATTTTACATTCAAGATATGCTAAATGACCCTGTTGTAGCACATGACTTATCAAATGATCAGCCTTCTTCCCTCTTTTTGCAGTGATCAATCTTCATGATCCATTCTGTGGCGAGCTGGGAAAAAAATGCAGTTGCTAATCAATGTCTGAACAGTCTGAAGCTCCACAAGAGATCCAAGGAGTCACTATCAAACTATTCTGTAGCATGAAATCATTGCACACAGAAGAACAGTCATAAAATAGGCAACTATCTACAAAGGTCAGAAAGGACAACATCCCTCTTGTGTTTCCTCTTTTTGCCGTGGAAAAACTGATGTGATTTGTTGCCTTGATGCTGTTTGTTTGTCACTGAGGTACCATGGTTTGAATTTGTTGGACCCTGGAAGCCTTTGCTGGAGGAAGAGCGAAATAACCTTGCTGATCCATGCTGTAAAAGAAAAAGGATGTGGTCAATTAACAGCAGAATAAATAGAATATAGCTGTTACAACACGTGTATGGCTGGTTAAAACAATCAAAACACTATAGTTTCAAGAGGCAGGGCATTTGAAAAGAGCCTGATGTGAAGGGAAGAATTAAGTCTGTGATTAGCCTCCAGCACAACAAGTTTTCTTTCACTTCACCCACCTCAGAAGAGAAAAAAAAAGCAAGATGCTGGGCTCTATCCCTTAAGTAACATAATCAGAAGACAGTCAGGATTAAAGAACTTAATTCAAGGTATAAAGTGAAGCATTGGTCCTGTATTTTAAAAATGGTAAGACTGATTTGTGTGCTCCATGCAAGCCAGAACTGTAACAGCTGCACTATATCTTACTGAAACAGATTCAGAGTCAAGAAAAAGAGGCAAGTCTCAGACGTATCCATTTATGTCTATCTGAAAAAAACACCCCCACCCCCACCACCAAAACACCTCACACACACACACACACACACACACACACGTGGAGTCCTGTGTTATCTGAAAGACTAAGGCTGTGTCTAGACTGGCAAGTTTTTCCGCAAAAGCAGCTGTCTACACGGGCCGCTTGAATTTCCGCAAGAACACTGACGATCTCATGTAAGAAATCAGTGCTTCTTGTGGAAATACTATGCTGCTCCTGTTCGGGCAAAAGCCCTTGTGCGCAAAAGCAACAGCTCAAATTTGTTTTGCGCAATAAAGCCCGGATCGCGAAAATGGCAATCGGGGCTTTTTTTTTGAGCAAAAGCGTGTCTAGATTGGCACGGATGCTTTTCCGCAAAAAGTGCTTTTGCGGAAAAGCGTCCGTGCCAATCTAGAAACTCTTTTCAACAAATGCTTTTAACGGAAAACTTTTCTGTTAAAAGCATTTGCGGAAAATCATGCCAGTCTAGACGTAGCCTAACATTTATTAGAGCATAAACTTTTGTGGATAAAAACCACTTTGCCAGATGTATCACAAGCAAGATGCACCTGACAAAGTGGTTTTTACCCATGGAAGTTATGTCCAAATCAATCTGTTACTGTTAAGGCACTGATCTATACTAGGACTTGATTTCAAAATAACTCTAGGTTGAATTTATAAGCGGCGTGTCCACACTACTAAGCCCATTATTTTGAAACAATAGGCTGCAGAATTAGAAATCTGTATTACTTGCTTTTCATCAGGAGTAACACTAATTCCAAAACAGTTATTTCGAAATAACAGTAGTGTGGACCCTCCAGTGCCGCTATTTCAAAACAATTATTTCCCAGGGTAATTCAAATTAATTACTCCTTAGTGCTTCCTGGGATCCAAGTCCAAGATAGCGAGTCCACATTAATGCAGCCTGCCTTGGACTAATTTTGAGTCTTCCCCGTATTGTGGGCATGCTAGTTTGAATTTGTTAAATCGGGAGTTAAGTCAGATTTACTAATTTCAAAATGCTTTCCTAGTGTACACGTTGTTTTTGAAGAAATATAAATAGAGGGGGATCACACAATTGTATTTCTTGCATAAAGATGGGGCAACATTTACCCACATCACAATCCACAGAAAGTACTTTATGGTGCACCCTTTGAAAAACATAGGGCCTAGTTTCTGAAGTATCTAATTTACTATTCACTGAAAATCTTTAACAAATGTGTGTAAAAATATTGATACCTAAAAGTAGAAGAAAAATAGTTCTGAAATTCCTCCACCATTCAGGAACAACATTTGAGAATATTTTTAATATTTAAGTTGTTTTAATTGTATTTCTGTAAAAAATGATACCTCACCATAAGCTGAATTTGTGTAAATCAAAAATTGGTTTGAAATAATTTTTCCAGACTACTGTATTGTAATAGGACTACTGTCTAACAAGATGGTGTTTCAGACTGTCAGATTATTTTGGATCATATTTTTGGGGGGAGAGGCGTATGATAGGAGTTTGATCTTCATGCTAAATTAGTTAAATACGCAATTCTCCAATAAAGAACCTAAAACTCTTAATTTAGGAGTAGGACTTAAATTTGGCTTGTAAATCCTTATAGTAGAGTTAAAAGTAGGTGACAGCTACAGTGTTAGGCTTCTTTCTCGGGAGTTGTCACACAAAACGATTTGTGCAACGCCTTTCCAGGAAAAGAGCCCTCTTAATCTATTTTGGATTAAAAGTAGAAATTAAAGTCAGCATAGAAAAAAAGGGTTCCACCATTAAAATAATTAAAACATTTAAGATTTCTTTTAAACATTTCACAAACCTGAGATTTGTTTGTGCTGTTGGATGTATTAGCTGTTTGGCTGTTTTGCCTTTTCCCACTGGACTGAGAGGATTCCAGTGCTATTTCTTGTGACCCCACCCTGTTTGTAGTAGACTGATGGCAACTCAACTGTTTAGATGTTTTGCACGGTGTTCCGTCAGAATCCTTCATAGAAATATAGGTATTAGTAAATTTATAGTTTTAAAGTAAAACTGAAGTGGACAAAATTGAAGAGATAAACATGCTGGTCCTGCTAAAGATTAAGCGTCTTAATACAGGACTCTAAAAACAACCCACAAATGGGCGCTGGCTTGCAAATACTTTAATGCATGATTCATTTCATGCCATCTTTAAGTTAGTACATTTTACACCAGATTAAAAGAAATCCAAATGGAGAGTCTATTAAAATAAGAGTTTACCAGGCATTTTTTGAATTTCACCTAGATCACACTTACTGCTACCTATCTCTTTTGAAACACACGTGTTTCACAGATGAAAAGGAGGTAAATAATATGATTGTATTAAGGGAGTACTTTTTATGCAGATACAGAAGTACATTATGCCAATGATGTGTTCTATGACAAAAAATTCATTAGAATAAACTGGAATTATGTGAAGAACTTCCCCTTACACAAATCTGAGATGTGGAAGAAATGATTGGCTATACTTACATTGTTCAACTGTGTACATAAACAGTAGAGAATAAATCTAATCAAGTTCAAACAAAAGCTTTTAATACTAACCACATCACTAGAGCTGGACAATGTAGAAGAGGAGGAAGACAATGGACCTGATGAAGAATTTGAAGAATGTTTACTGAGTGTTTCTGAGGTTTTACTTCTAGATTTTCCCAGTGCTTCATTTGCTTCAGAGAGATTATTGTTACACTTGTCTAGCTGCTGAGTATCTACTATCAAAGTTACTCCGTTAGCTGAGAAAAAGAAAGTAAATGGAAGAAAGTATTAATTTCTATTAAGGGCTGCATTCTGTAAATAGAACACAATATTTCTGCAGAGTAAGTCAATGAGCTGTGCATATGAGTAAAAAGCTTCATGAATGGACCCAAACCCAAAAAACCCACTAGTGTATGTGATGAAAATCTATCACGAACATAGCCTAACTACATGAAAGTTCAAAAGGGAAAAAGTGTTTCTATGGTCTATCAATTACCTCTCCTTACCTTAGACAGGATTGTTCTAGGATAGATTTTTTCACAAGTGCTCATCTCTGTGTCTAAATGAAATGACCTGGTTTATAAAGTGCTTAGTGCCTAACAGCTCCCATTTTTCCCCTCAAAGGGAACCACTGTTTGCTCAACAATTCAAAAATCATCTGGCTTTTTTGGGTTCCTACTGGTAACTATTGGGTGCATAGCTCTTCTGAAAATCTGGCCCTGAGTGTTTTTGTGAAGACTGGTAAAGCAAGGAACAAGTGGGGGGGGGGAAGAAATCAGTCACAGTCTACCTTATTTGATGTGAAGAAAATCCTCACTGTTGTATAAAATTAAATTGTTCCTATAGACAGTTTATTTCATATAGACAGAAACCACTTCTCTGCTTATAGATGAGATATTAAGCGCACTGTTTACATTTAGACCTATGTCCTTTACCTCATCTGGGTCAAAAGCAGCAAAATGTTGTTATATTGCCTATCCTGCAAAAAGCATGCAAAGGAAACATCCTACTAGGTAGCCAAATCTTACCATTGCATGAAGACTCAGTCCTACTCTGCATTCCCCAATGCTTTGATATCCACTCTCTGTATGAGGCCACTTCTTGCGTTACTCTAATTATTCTACCCAATATACTGCAAAAGAAAAAAACAAACCACAAACAAACCATGGATTAGTTTTAAATACACAGGAATATATACAACTAATGATCTGACTTGACATTAAATTTTTACCTTTCAGTTTCATTGTTGGGATAATATTTAGCTATTGGTGATACAGCATGGCTCAAAATAACATATGCATAATCAAAGGCCTGTTTCACTTGCATGGCACCATATGAACTCCTCCCAACATCATTACCTTAAAAATAAATACACAGATAATCCATTAATTCAATACATTGTTTACTTGACTTTGAAACACTGGAATACGAGCTCACAGAAAAAAGAAAAAAGGATTTGCTTTCTTAGAAATCCTGACTCACCTTAAATAATTCCTCGTGGGGGATAAAATTAAAAAATTAATGAGCTGAGAAAAATACACAAAGGAATCTAAAAGCCCAGAGGTAACTGGAATCTGTTAGATGTAGATGTCAAAATTGGAAATTCCACAAGCACAAAACATGGGGAAAAAAAGTATGTACGGTATAAGGCAACATTTTTATGGCATCTTCCACATGAGGTTTCAGTTACATAAGCTTTTGTAATTGCAATTATTTGCTGCTATCGGTTATACCAAAAGCTTAATCCTATTAATGGAAAAAAAATCAGTATTGTAACAATACACAGTGAAATCACTAGGTATTCAGGCCACTGTCTTGAATTAACAGGACACTAGGACATGAGATAGAGATGAAAGGCTAACCCCTATTTCTGGAATGCTTTATAAATAAAATGAGCATTTCCTCTTGGAATTCATAATTATTGTCTTTATAAACACTTTTCAAAAATTGAATGAGGATTTTACTTTCCTCTGATTTAAATTTTTAATCACAGTCAGTATGCCATATTTGACATTTTACATATTCAGTTATGATACCTGGCTGTAGTGGATCTTCAATATATAGCATTGATGGTCTATACCCATCCAGCATACTCTTTTGCACTTCATCTTTAGCCACATATGAACCACCATCCTTTATTCGGATTCCTGTCTTCAGGTAATTGAAGTGACGTCCATATAATTCAAAAAATTCTATTAAAAGGACACCATAGTTGGCACTGGGGATGCAGGCATCTTCCCTGGGATGCAACTATTAAAAAAGGAAAAATAAAATTGCTCTCTCTTGCCTTAAAGATTCCAGATTTCAAATATTTTTATATTCCTTTTTATTGATTAGAAAAGACCCATCTAGGCCTTGATTTAAACCATTTAATAGTTGACAAAAATCAAAGCATTTTACAACATTTCTGTGAAGCAAGCAAGCATCCTTCAAATTTTACAGATGAAGAAACTAAGTAAATTTCCAAGCCAATCAGCAGAGTGTGTGTCACAGCACGGATTACAAATTCAGGTGTTAATTTCCAGACCTGTGTTTGGAACACAAGCATAATTTAGCCTGGCCAGCTGTTTAAACATGGGCCATACACTATTGTGCATAAATTCTAAAGTACGAACACTGATACACCAGAGTGCTTTAATTTTTGGCTGTGAAATGAAAACAGTAAAAAGTCTTGAAGATGTTATACTCTAGGCATATATACTATTAGAAATAAAGGAAATGTAGAAAATTGAAGATATACAGTACCATCATCAATATGGTGTAAGAACATATCACCCAGTATCAAAAAATGGGAGGAATGCATAGGAAATTAATTAGTAACAGGAGGAGGGATTTTTTTTTAATATAAGGAATATAGAAGCACCTTAGAAAAGTAATACTATATTGCTATTTGGGGGATTCTGGGACATCACAATACAATTTTCCACTTTGACAGATTAAAATTCCATCTGAAACCTCTTGATAACATTATGCAAGCATTAGTACAAGATTATCCTAGACACCCAAATAAATTATGTACTGCTAACAAAAGCACAAGTCATGTACAGAGAAGACAGGATAGGGAAAAGGATGAGAATTGGGAGAAGAGAATAAATTCTGCAAATGCCTAAAGTATTTACAATTAATACTTATATTGGATCTTGGGGGGTTTAATATGAATAAACCAATTGTGCTTTACTTCTAGCTGTGATATAGTCAAACTTCTCAGTGGAATACAGCTTTAGTATTCATTATTAGTGAATACATTAGTTTTTATTCCTTATGAGTTTTCATCTATTTTAAAGCACAAGTTTGTATGAACCACAGACTGATTTTACTGGATTCATTCAGGTTTATGTTACCAAGGATGTTCAATCACTGACAACATTTTTACCATCTCTGTGTAATTAGTTTTTTGAGTTGTAGTGAGATTAGCATTTGATGGCTGTTAAACATCTATGTTCATAAAATTCATGGATGCAATTTATGCAATCCATACAAAAACCAACCATCTGAGCTGCCTCCATTTTGAGTCTTCTTGAGAGAGACATGGTCATGACAAACTACCCTCTCACTCTTAAGGTACGTTTACACTGCACATTCCTTATGGCAATACGTACAGTACATACACTGCATTCCCTCCAAGCCTGGGTATACACAGCAGCGTAGAGGCAGAGGAACCTGTGTCTGGAACCTTTCCCTGCTGCCTCCCCCTGCTACAGAACCTTTCACTACCATAGGTTACTATGCATACGCCAGCGGAGTACAGTGTAGACATCTCTCTAAAATGGTTCCCAAACAGAACAATATGGTATGTCTTGTGCGACCTCTGTTCAGGACGTGACCAAAAATTAATTTCAGACTAAAGGAATGCCAAGCAATTACTTCAGAGTGCGCTTCTATTCTGAAAAGTGGCTATATAAAAAAAAGGGTATTCTACTATTCAATAGACTTATGTGCATGCACATGTGCATGTAATAGTAGCGCTAAGCATCAAATTGGCCAATTTCAGATAAAAACCTTTAAACTACTTTTTACTCTTGTTGAAGCCTCCAAAGCAAAAACACAGATATGAAAGAGATGTATTAGAAATAATCACATTTTCAAAAAAGTTTAACTAAATTCCAATTATAGAATCAATTTTTGCCCTCATTTACAACTGTGCAACTCAATTTTGGATGATAACATTTATAGGTACAGAAAGGAGAATCTGTCCTTCACTACTTATGTTTCTGATATTGCCTGAGCAGGAAAGAACATCTTGATTTTCAGAGAAAAATTCAGTTGGCAGGCTGACAAGGGAACATTTATATTATTTTAAGACTTCTAAACTGAGAAAATTTAATCTGCAAGTAATTGAGTAACAAATATGTAATGCCATGATGCCACTTTTACAGTTACTTTTCAGAGTAGAACCATATTGTAAACTCATTTGAGAAAATATTTAGCACAAAAATTAATTTTAAGTTAAAATGCTTAAGTAAATTAAAACAAGAATCAAATCCTTTTGTCCTAATGCCATCAATAATTTCATTTAAACTTACCTGGAGGAAGCTGACAGCCATTAAAAAGAGACTATAAGACCCAATTCCACCTGTGAATACTTCATTAAGGTCCCTCTGCAACAGGAACTGTTTTAATACTAAAACTAGATATGGTAATACAGGATATTTCTGAAAAAAGAACAACACAGATGTTAGGCTAAATGTTATAGATATGTACACGTTTGCTGTGAAAACTACACTGAAATGGATTGCTCATAAAAACATGGAGACAAAAAATATAAATACAGATTTACTATATAAAATGCTAAAATGACAGCTAAAAGATATCCATTTGTAGTTGCTTTTTTTTTTGGATGTGTAATAGGGAACAGGTGGACATAAAGCAGTTTTTGGACAAAATTTTTTGCATTTAAAGGAATGTGGCAGTGGTCTTCCCACTACTAGCACCTATTTCAATTAAAATAATGGTAAAGAGGAAAGGAGCTGGCTTTCTTTGAAAGTAACACAGACATGGTTTTTTTTTGTTTGTTTTTTTAACAAGATCAGACAAATTTGCACTGAGAAGTAAGGGGATGTTGGTCCAATATGTACCAGGATACCGGTAATAAAGCTCCCTACTTCTCAGTTAATATCCAAAACAATCTGAGCCCCTGATCCTGCAGACACTTGTAAGTGTGCTCATTTTGATACTTTGGGGGCTCGTCTACACTGGCCCCTTTTCCGAAAGGGGCATGCTAATTTCACAGGTCGTAATAGGGAAATCCGCTGGGGATTTAAATATCCCCCGCGGCATTTAAATAAAAATGTCCGCCGCTTTTTTCCGGCTTTTAGAAAAGCCGGAAAAGAGCGTCTACACTGGCCCCGATCCTCCGGAAAAAAGCCCTTTTCCGGAGGATCTCTTATTCCGCTCTTTTCCGGCTTTTCTAAAAGCCGGAAAAAAGCGGCGGACATTTTTATTTAAATGCCGCGGGGGATATTTAAATCCCCCGCGGATTTCCCTATTACGACCTGTGAAATTAGCATGCCCCTTTCGGAAAAGGGACCAGTGTAGACGTAGCCTGGGAGTATAGGTTGTATCTCCCTGGTCTGGCACTCTTGAAACCTCACTGGTCCCAGATGAGGGAATTTGCTAGATCTGGGGAGGTCAATGCCAACTCTTCTGCCATCACCAGCTGCAGGGCTCTTCTCCAGTGGTAGCAAAGCGCCTGGCATCGACTGAGTGTGACCACCCAGCCTCTTCCCCTGAGAGTCTTCTGGCCTTGCTCCTCCCATTACCTCCCTGAACTTGAGCATCACAAATGAACTATTTGCAATGCTCCAAAAGTTCTGGCAGAGTGGAGGAAGAGTTGCTGAGTATGGGGGCGTTTTCCCCCCATGAGTGCTGCGATGCTGGGCCGCAGATGTTGCAGGACTATGGAGGTCAAACCTGTAGCCCACTGAAGTACCTATTAAATATAAGTCATTAAATCTTCAATCTATTTCAAAAAGAACAGTCACTTACCTTATTGTGACTGTAGTTCTTAGAAGTGTTTTGTCTGCAGGGATCCCACTCTGCAGTTTCTAGCTACCAGTTTTCTCTATTGAGCTGGGCTTCAAGGGTCTTATCTAAATAGACTACAGGACTCCCCTACCATACTAGACATCAAATCTAGTACCTGCAACTAGTGAGCAGAGCTGGACATAAGTATATACTAAAGTTCCAAGTGACCATCCTGCAAATTTTTGATGTTAGGACATTGCTTGAGCATGCAAAGGAGATCATTTGGTTCTTAGTAAAATGTATTTTATTAGGAGAAGGTGGAGGTAGTTCATTTGGCTGATAGGAGATATTAATACAGTCCAATACTCATTTCATGCAAGTGTCTGGGTCATAACAGTCCATCCTCCAGAACTGTCCCCAAGTGCCAACAAAGGCCTAGGTAACTTGCAGAAAGGCTTTGTTTTACACAGGTAGCTGGAGATGGCCCTCAAGACAGAACATATAAAGTTTTGCTCCTCCATGGAGTTTAATAAGTTTTTGTAGCTGGATAGAGACACATACTGGCAGATTTATGTACTGATTTAAATGGCAGTCTGAGAGTCACCCTGTTTTTGTGAATTCCTACCATTAACACCTGAATCTCGCTCGCTCTTTAAGCAAAGGTAATTGCTTCAAAGAATGCTCTCTTCATAGAAAGGTGGTATAGAGAGCACAAACTATAGCTTCAAAAGAGGGGAATTAATTAGGGCCAGGAATATAATATTTAGGTCCCAGGAAGAGAAAAAGTCCATTACTGGGGGAAGTGTGTGGATCACACCTTTCAAGAATTCAGACATAGCTGGATGTCAAAATATACTGAAGAGTGCCAAACAGATATGGTGGCTAAATGAACTCTAACAAAACCTGACAATGTCCCAAACGTTTCAAGGGTAACTAGTCCATAACAGGAAGAGATATTCAGGGATTGAAGATCATGCTGAATATCCCAGAGTGAAAAGTTTCCATTTGTCTTGTAGAAGCATTTATGCTTTGAACAGAATATCTCGTATCTCTATGGGGCAGCTTCTGCCTACGGCATTTAACCAACTAGCATCCATGCTGGCAGATGTTCAGACCAAGGGTTCATGTGTATGATCCGAATAGCAGAACTCACATTCCTATGCTGGTACTTTCAGTATTAGCTGGCCATTGTCTCATCTTACTCTTCTGGAGACTAATGGGATTATCAGGAAGGCATCTCTCAAAAATCTGTTGCATTGGATCAGAAATGCATCCAAGAAGGAGGCTGGGTTAATGTGTCCTTGGGAGCAAAAATGTCAAGCATTTCTTAATGTAGTTGGTGGCAAAACAGGTCTGTGGTTGGAAGACCTTCTTTGAGGAAGACTACACTGAATTTTTGAAAGTCTACTCATGACTTCTAAAACACTGCCTGTTGAGGTGGTCTGCAGATTGCTCTGAACACTTCATAGTGTAGAGCTAGGAGAGTCATTCAGTGTTGTATGTGCTAGTCCTCTGGGAGAAACTGCCTCTTATCAGAGCAGAGATGATGTCACTACCTTTTCTGTTAACATATCCTGTCGCTGTAACACTGTCTATCAGGACTTGAATGGTAGCCCCCCCGCAAGAAGGGACAGGAAAGATTTGCATTGTAAATATATGGTATTCCAGTCCATGTATAGATGAGAGTCTCCTGGCTGTCAACAACCTTGTGTCTAAGACGGTCTAGGTGTACCCCCATTCTTGTTTAGAACCATCTGTTAACAGTTTTGGTGGGAGATGGGAAAGTGAATGTGATGCCCTTGGTAGACTTTTGCATGTCTTTCCATGTTATAAGTGTCAGGTTAATTTTAATTACCCTTAAAAAGAGGCACAAGGCAAAGTTTGGAATACAGTATCTCAGGTATGAGAATGCTATGTGGCCCAACAACCCAAGAGTCCTTCTCCATGGTTCTCAATTGACTGCAAATTTGAAATGGAGCACGCTCTGGTGCAAAAGCTCTCTGGCAAGAGATAAGCTCTCACAAACTTGAAAGCTCTCAAAAACTGCTCCTATGAACTTCATTGTTTGAATGGGCATGAGAGCAGACTGATTGATCTTGAAGACTAATGAGAAGAGTTAGAGAAGTTTGTACCCTTTGGTGATCTACTATGAAGAAGTTGGCCCAAATCAGCCAGTTATCGAGGTATGGATAAATGTGGGAGCCATGCTATCCTAAATACACTGCCACTAGTGATAAGCATTTGGTAGCAAATCTTGGTGCTGTGGAAACTCCAAATGATAGTATTCTGTACCTGTAGTGCCCATTTCCAACCACGAATTAAAGATACTGTCTGTGAGTAGAATAGATGCATGTAAGTATGCATCTTGTCAACCAAATCTCACAAATCAATCCTGAGGAATTGCCATAGGTGCAGAAGGGTCTGCTTGTTCCTCTTGATGATCACCACTACTCCAGAGGTCTTGTTCCAGCTTGTGTACTTGACCCTGTTGAAATACTTATGTTGTTCAAGGAGTCCCAGCAGAATGAGGCAATTTATTTCTGTGTTAAAGGGGTCTTGATGATCAGGGTCCTGAAAAATGAGTGTGATGATTTTATGGTAGCCAGTAAGGCCAGATCTGCACACTATAGTAGGATAGCATACAAGGATTCCAAGTGGACAGCGCTAAGATCCATCACTGAGTAAAGTAGGATCTGAGAAGTAATTAGGCCACTGGGTGAGGTGTAATTTAAGGATGTGCTGGACAGAAGTCAACCCTAGTTGACACAGATCGCCAAACGATTCTAATCTTGCGCTCCTAGGGCACATGCACCCTTAAGAGTGTGATCCATGTGGACAAATACTTTAAGAATAATTCTTGCAGTGGAAGATCACAACAGTTTTGGAACAAGTGTTTAGACACATTTCTAGGCTCTTCCCCTGGTTTCAAGGTAAGACCCCGATCTGGTAACACAGACGTACAACTTAACTAACTGGAATAGTCTCGTGGAAGCCAATGGGACACACTCTCATGCTTCAGAACTAAGCACTTGCATAAGTGTTCATAAAATTGGAGCCTTAGCAAGTGAAAGGTAATACAGGCAGTCCCCAGGTTACGTACAAGATAGGGACTGTAGGTTTGTTCTTAAGTTGAATTTGTATGTAAGTCGGAACTGGTACATATTGTAGGGGAAACTCTAGCCAAACATTTCTCTAGAGCTCAGTTTTATTCTCCCACACCTCACTTCCCTCAGTCCTTTATTCTCAAGCTGAGGTGTCTGCTGAGAAAAGCCGCTCCGCGTCTCTCTGGTCTGCTGGGGGGAAGCAGCTAGTGCGGGGTTGCCTCACCCCGTTTGTAAGTAGGGATCCAATGTAAGTCGGATCCATGTAACCCAGGGACTGCCTGTACTAATATTCTCATCAGCTATTGAAACCACTGAGATCTGAAAAACTGCCTCACTACCTGTAACTACAACAGAATTACACTTTCAATTTTTAACACGAAGGGTTAATTCCTGCTTGCCATACCCATGTGAACAGTTTTACTAAGTCAAACAGCCAAAGGATTTTGCTCTGAAGTTATAACTATTCAAATACTTATGAGACTAGATGGGTGAGGGAATATCTGTTACTAAACCATCTTCTGTTAGGATGTGTCTACTACACAGCACCCTAAACTCAAAATAAGATACGCAACTTGCACATCTTA